AATATATGAAGAAATATTAAAAAAGAAATATGCAGTTTAGTCACAAAGAGGCCATGTAAGATTTCGGTCCAACTTTACCCCCCTCATATCACGGAACGGCCTCCACTATGATTAGGTTTGTTTTTATTTAGTATTGTTTAAGGTCCTGTTAACAGCTATGGTCATTTAAGGACGGCCTTCTATGTTGCAAGATGCATGCGTGTAGTGTATGCGTGTGTGTTTTGGGAGGCTGCGATATGTTCGTGTTTATAGTGCTACCTCACTGAACCATACTGCCGAAGGCACCCAGCAGGACACTTCAACTGGTCACATTATACTGACAACGGGCCTTCACTATGACCATAATTCAATGTCACAACATAATAGTATAACACCAAAGTATGTTTTGCAATAATACTTATCGGCGATAGCCAAATGAAGACCCAAAATTGCACCCCTCCTTTAAGTGGCACCGACAGGTTGAATTAACTGGTATTGTTCTCATCTGACAGGTAGTTTATAATAGAATCTATAACTTACTAATTGTGGGAATTATCAAAGGTAAGTGTTAAGTGCTAAAACCGATTTCTCAGCTCTTTCATTCCCTTGCTCATGTTTTAGTACAGGGAGTAGAGAGTCACTACCTTATCATCGTAAGGGGGAAAATGGAGTCAGATGCCAGGAACAAAATAGGTAGGAACGTTTCTTTACTTCCTTTACAAGATGTGTATGACATTTGTAGACCCGTGTTTACTTGTCAAGAACTCCGTTTCCTCTTGATAATGAGATAACTGCACAGGAGCCCAGTAGAAGCAACACACATTGCAGCAAGCTGTTCGAGCGGAAGGGAAAGCTGGACAGCAGACACTGGCACAGAGATGGCATGTGCTGAAGATAGAAGAACCCAGGCTACAGGAAGGGTTGGCCATAGAAAAAGATATTGGCCTTGTGGCATTCAGCTGAGAAATAACATTAAAAGAAGATGGGGAAAAAAAAAAGAAAAACCGTCACAAATAAATCCTTCTATGACCACAGCTTCGGTAAATGTTCTCTAGCAACCAATTGTTGAGACATGAAACATTATGGCTACGTACGGTGACCAAGCCGTGCACAAATGTCATCTTCGAATAACAATATGATAATGATATTTTTTTTGTGTAGTAACGAATGAATCATATTTTGAAAGTCGATTTTGTGACCACTGAAGATATATCTTGATACCACCTTGATACAATATGTTTCTCCTGAAAACCCATCTGCTCATATTCGTTAAATACATGCAATTATTGTTATTTGGGCCCATACGGTAACACTGCCAAGGACGACAGAGGGTCGTTTAAAAGAGACCAATTTGAGGATAATGATATAGTCTGTATAACAGAATCTCATTTAAACCCTTCAATATCTAACCTTGACATTCAGATGCACTCCTTCAATTCCAATCCTCATAGAAAAGATAGAACTACTGGTCCGGGGGTGGGGTTATAGTTTATCACAAAGATACTATTGTTATGAATAGGCGAATGGACCTAGAAAAGGATGATGTTGAACTTATATGGTTAGAAGTATTAGTTAATAATCATATATTTCTTCTTGGATGTTTATACAGACCAGAAAGTAATGTTGAATACTGGAATAAATTAGATAATACGTTGACCAGAGCTACAGATACTTCACTGGATGTGGTACTGACAGGTGATATCAATATTGATATGTTAAATCATCCGTTGAATGATCACTTATCAAGACTCCTTATCAAACATAATTTACTTAGTCTTATTAATGAACCCACAAGAATAACACCTGACAGTGCCACATCCATTGATATTATCTTTACTAATAACCAAAACATAGTTAAAAATACTCATGTATCTCCACCATTTTGCAGTGATCACTCCTCAGTACATGCTTCAATTTCTTATTCTGTATTTAAAAAAGTAAGCTATAAAAAAACTATTTTAAAATATGATGAAGCAGACTTTGATAGAATGAACAATGTCTTATTTGATATTGATTGGTTGAATTTGTCTTCAGATCAGGATTCTAATACTTATAATAGCACTATAGTCAATGCAATCACGGAGCAGGTCAATAGATTCATTCCTACAAAAGTAATAACTGTGCGCCCAAATGATAAACCATGGATGAATAATACAATTAGATTGAAAATGAGACAACGAAATAGAATTCACCGAAAAGCTAAACTAACAAATAATCCCCATTATTGGGAACAATTTAGAACCTTACGAAATGAAACTATTGACCTTATCCGTGAGGCAAAAGCAAACTTTATAAAAAATCTTGAAAAGTCACTAAATGAAAATGTGGTTACTCCAGACAAATGGTGGAAGATAGCTAAATCTATTACCAATTTTTCTAATAAGTCATCTTCTATTCCACCACTTGAATCCAACGGCCAAATAATCCATCATCCAACTGAAAAAGCAGAGCTTCTTAACAATCACTTCACTAATATTTCTACATCAACACCTGACCTTGAATTACCCCAAACAGCACAACCCAATGCCCCCTATTCACTATCAAACATTCATATCACTGAACAAGATGTTTCCGATCAAATTAATATACTCAACACTAATAAACCCCCAGGCTCTGATGGTGTTATTCCTAAAATTGTGAAAAAGCTTCATGCTTCTCTTAAATTACCTCTTATGTTATTATTCAATAAGACACTAGAGTCTGGTATAATACCTTTTAGTTGGAAACAAACAAATGTTAATGCTATTTATAAAGGAAATGGCTCATCTAATGATGTGTTAAATTACCGACCAATTTCAATTACATCATGCTTCAGTAAAATAATGGAAAATTTTTTTTTTTAAATATCTATACAACTTTTTGATTGAGAATGATATTATTACTAAGCATCAGTCTGGCTTTATACCTGGTGATTCTACTGTCAATCAGCTTTTGTTTATTTATAATGAAATTGCAAGCAATATGGATAAAGGAAAGGAGCTTCGATTTGTTTTTTGTGATATCAGTAAAGCCTTCGACAGAGTATAGCACAAAGGTCTTTTATTTAAATTGAAATTATATGGTATAAATGGAAATCTACTTTTGTGGTTTGAAAATTATCTGTCTAACAGAATGCAAAGAGTAAATACTGAAGGTTATTTTTCACAATTTAAGAATGTAAATGCAGGGGTACCTCAAGGATCTGTCCTCGGACCACTATTATTTCTTCTCTATATCAATGATATCACTACTAATGTTTCCACCAATATCAAACTTTTTGCTGATGACACTTCTCTGTATGTAATTATAGATAATAACCCAGCACAGGCCGCACAATCTCTCAACACTGATCTTACTAACATAGGTGAATGGGCAACAACTTGGGACATTAAATTCAATCCAAGTAAAACAAAATCACTCATATTTTCTAGAAAACAAGACACCCATCACATCCCACTATTTTTCCAAAATAGCCAAATCATAGACACATCATCACATCAACACTTAGGACTTACACTTCAAGATGATGCAACATGGAAACAGCACATACAGAATATATACAAAAAAGCTTACAATAGACTTAATATTCTTCGCCATGTCAAAACTAAAGTCAATAGAAAATCTTTAATTAAAATATATATGGGATTTATTAGGCCAATTTTGGAATATGCAGATATTATTTGGGATAATTGTACACAACAGGCAAAAGATATTCTTGAATCTGTACAATTAGAAGCAGCTAGGATAATAACAGGTCTTCGTTCTGGGGTATCACATGACAAACTATACAATGAACTAGGTTGGGAAACACTATCTGTAAGACGAAATAAACACAAACATGTAATGATGTACAAAATTATGCATTGGCAGACACCTCAATACTTACAAAATGTTTTAAATCCCTTTATTAATAATCAAAATGATAACCCCTACCCTCTCAGACAAACTAGGCTTTTCAACCCACCTTTATGTAGAACTAATAACTATTTTGACAGTTTTTTCCCTCAAATGTGCCGCACAATTAACATTGCAAATTCTGATCTTCTTAATTCTCCCTCTCCTGCAGCATTAAAAAAATATTTGAATAAAGATATTATTTCTGATAGTGAATCTGTTTCAATTTTCAAAACAGAAGGTAACCGAAGAGCAAGTATTATTCTATGTCGACTTCGAAACTCTTGCAGTAATTTAAATTATGATTTACACCATGACCATCTTACTAATAGTCCTGCTTGTACCTGCTCTGCTGAACATGAAACAGTATCTCATTACTTTTTGGAATGTCCTATTTTTAATAATCAAAGAACAACTTTGTTCACTTCTCTTAATAGTTATGGAAACCACAACCACATTGATAAAAACATTCTTCTCCAGGGCTGTCCTGATTGTGATGGGCTTACAAATAGAAGAATACTTGATGATGTGCATATTTTTATTGGAAAATCCCGTCGTTTTAATTTTTATATGACTTAAAGCCATGATGGTATACAAAAATATACTATATATTCTATATTTCATCCAGGAGATTCTAGTTGAGCATGACTACTGTCTATTGCGTGTACTTATCATGACATTGTAAATAATTACACTTTATATGTATTAAATGAATTTATTATTTTTAATTGTAACAGTTGTTGGTAGCAGTGACCTGTGCAATATATGCACATGGACTTTTGGTCTAAGCCTGCCAATATCTGTCTATGATAGTGTATATATATGCTGAAATAAAAGTATTTGTACATGTACTAGTGTGTGTGTGTAAGTGTGTGTGTGAGATGTTTCCTTCATGAGTTACTTCCCCTAAGCCTTGTGTTATTATGAATTATTTTGTGTTATTTTTTTCATTTGCAACATGTCTAAAATATTATGTCTCCTTGTTTATTCAACTTTGGCCATTTGACGGAGAGAATTTATATAGGCTTTGCCTGTTATTCAATCCAATTGATTATGACATCTTGTCAATAAAATTTGATGAAATGAAAGAGACCAATCATATAGAAATACGTACTTGACTGTGTACTGTTAAACAAGGCAATGATTCTAGACCGAGGTTATAGTAAGCAACGACGGAAAAGTACTTGTAATGTGATCGGATAACATCACTCTAAGCCCGCGGTCTTGTGTCATATAGGGGACCTAGCGTAGTGTGTATCGACTTCATCGCGTGCTGTTATAAACAGCAAAATCACAGAGTAAGATCATGCAGCATATCTATTAGGTTATTTATAACGAAAGAAGGTCGTACACTTCGAAATGCAGGACCAAAACCAAGGTGGACAGCAACTTCTGGTAAATACAATTTATTTCATTAGATTGTTTTCATGTGCTGTTAAAAAGCGAAAAATAATTTCACATGCCATAAATAATCTTTCAGTTCTTTAGCTAGTACAAAAATGAAGTTTAATTTTTACAAGGTCTGTGTCTAGCAAATTCTTGCGCTCTCGTTACGGGTGAACTACTACCTTATTACACTGTCGTTATAGATGAAGTATAATTGTATAACACTGTCGTTATGGGTGAGGTAATAAATTATAACACGGTCGTTAGTATTCAAGTATAACCTTAGTACATTGTCGTTTTGGGTGAAGTAGTACCTTATTACACTGTCGTTGTGGATGAAGCACTACCTTATATCACTATCGTTGTTGTTGACGTTATACCTTATTACACTGTCGTTATGGGTGAAGTAATAAATCATAACACGGTCGTTAGTGTTCAAGTATAACCTTAGTACATTGTCGATTTGGGTGAAGTAGTACCTTATTACT